TATGGTCTTTGAGGATTTTTTTTGTATTATTGAAAATTTTTGATAAAAATGGCTTTTTACATCTTTTTCTGTAGAATAATCTCTAATTTTTCTCACGATTTTTTTTTGGCTGAAAAAAATTTTCAAAAAAATTGAATTTCTAAATTTTCTGAGCCGAAAAAAAGTGCGGAAATTTTGAGCTAAAAATTACGAAATTTAAAATTTTCGTAAAATTTTTTTTGGGAAGTGGGCGGAGCCTAAGCCGCTTGAGCTCCGCCCACTTTTAGTGGACTCTGTGAATTTGCATTTTCCACACGATTTTTCAGCTGTTTAGGCTCCGCCCACTTTTAGCGAAATTTGCACTTTTCTGGATTTTTCTACGAAATTCGCAATTTTATCTTTTTCCCCTATCAAAAAAATACCTGCTTTTTTATCTTTTATCAACTATCTATTTTCCCCTTAATTTTGCCCCAAATTTTCAGATCTCTTCCCTCCCGTGGCTACCCTATACAAACGTCTTCTCAAACGTCTTCTGAATCTCTTCAAATATGTCAAAACCGGGACCACAACAAATGCCGCATCAGCAGGGAAAACTGATAATGGTGAATCATCATCAGAGAACGACGACGCCCGACGGATCGCAAGTCTATCTACTCCAACCGACGCCACAGGGACAGAATCACGGGAGACCGGTAGGGGAATCTTTTCAAAAAATTGGAAAAAAAAATGACCTAGAATCCCCAAAAATCGGTGAAAAATCAAAAAAAATTGATCGAAAATGGCTCAAATTAGGCCTAGAATGGGCCCTAATTTTGGTGTAGAGAAACCTGAAATTAGCCGAAAATAGCCCTGAAATTGACACTGAAAAGGCTTAAATTGAGTTAAAGCAGCTTCCAAAACATGCTAAAATGGCCTGAAATCGGCCTAAAAAGCCTACTAAGATGACCTAAAATTTGACTGAAAATCGTCCTGAGTTAAAGCAGCTTGAATTGAAACCTGCTAAAATGGTCCAAAATCGACCGGAAATGGCCTGAAATCGGCTGAAGTTGGTCGAAAAAACTAAAATTGAAAAAAAAAGCGGCTTAAAATGGCCTAAAATCTGATCTGGAATCATCCAAAAATTGTTGACACTCTGAAAATTCAAATTTCCCGCCCATTGATCCCCCCAAGATGATCCCGCTTGGGGGTTAACACCAGAGATAAGCCCCGCCCACAATATCTTCTCTCCCATTTGATGCTCTTTTCTTCTTTTGTATTATTTTCGGGGCACATCGTGGGACCAACAAATTCCACGCCTTCAAAGTTTCCAGATTTGTAGTTTTTCTTCCCAGAAACTTTAAAAGCGCATGTAGGTTAACGGCACAAGACGACGATTTCGCTTCTGGGGGGGGGGGGGGGGGGGAAAAACCATTGTTCACTGCGTCTCATTTCCCTAATCAGTTGGCACGTTTCCTTCTACCCTTATCAGCACCGACTTCGATTATTGTTTTTGTCGATTTTCGTTCGAAAAAATATGTCAAAATGACACAAAATGAGGGCGAGATAGGCGTGGCGCACTTTCGAAATGCTTTTTGGGGCATGAATGCCGCCTTATTATTCTTGTGCAACAAAAATTGGAGT